CGACTACGCATGTCGTATCTGAATAACATTCAGCAGCGACTGTGAGGGACGGCGATAACACTCTTCGGCCAGATCAGATTGCGGACATGGTGCAAGACCGTGGACAATGGAGAGGGATCGTGGTCGCATGCGCTGCAGCCGAACGATGATGATGATGGGTCTTACGACTGAATTGCGTGTTAAGATTTACAATATATAATRAAAAAGATCTGAAAGATTTAACGTTAGAATATGCGTTTGATTTCAAGGAAAGCAGCGGTTTTTCGCTTTGAATTCGAAAATGAAGTATTCAACCTAAAGCCCGCGCTATACGTATCAGTGAATGAACAATACTCCAATTTCGAATTCAAAGCGAATAACCGCTGTATTATTTGACAGCAGATTCTCTTACGCAAAGAACATACCAAACACAAAAGAACTGGGTGATTGATTTGCGACCAGGCCTGCATATGAATTCGCCAAGGTTGTAAGCCAGTGAGCCCGTGCATTTTTGTTAAGCGGTCATATTTGAAAATGTAAATAAAGGAAAGGGAAAACCCGCAGCTCTCCATCCACTCAGATAAACAGTACAAGTCGTGTTATATTTATTTACATAACTAAACAAAATGATTATAGAATTAAACCTTTAAGAATTGAATGCTCATATCAAACATTTTCCACCTTAAATACACACGTGTTTTTCAGAAGGGAATTTAGTCGAACTTTTTTCACGATGGAATTTTGTTTTGAGTCGTTTCAACCACGGGTAGCCCAAGCTCTTTACTTGATATAAGAGAATGTATGGGAATCTATGTAAAGTTGATTTATGGCATAAATATACAATRAATTTCGCTATAACTTATTGTGTGCATTATTATAGCTACTGGTAATCTCTGGAGCGATTTTCAGGACTTTTATGAATTTTTTTCCCCTCTTACTATAATCTGTGACAGGGTAGGAATCGAAGCCCTCCATATCCACTTCGAACAGCTCTTAATTTGGTCGATTTTTTCGTCGAAGTTCGACTCCTAACGCAATGTGCCTTTGTACAGCTGTCAACTAATAACTTACCACTGTAGAAATGCTGGTTTCATCGAGCCAGTTGATTTTCTTGAGCCATGAGCTCTCCTGAGGCAAGTAAAATCCGTGTCAAAACCGCCATTTTGCCACTGTGGCGGAGAAAGTACTGTACAAAAGAAGCGCCGGTGGAAGCCTGGAAACTAATGCAAAAGGTCCACCGTGCCGGGAGGCCATGTCTACCACGAAATTAATTCAGTCTTTGTTTTTCTTCAACCAATCACACGTTCGAACGTGCCACATGGCTTTCGAACGTGTGCATGGAAAAGCCCGCATATTACATATGTGAAATTCACAAGTTATGTGAACTCCATGATGTCTTGTTCGCCGAACAAGCGAAGGAAACAGGATTCCGCTGCTTCTTTTGCTTTAATTCGAGCTTGGTAAGTCGATTAGGCTTTACATATTTTCCTAGAGCACATAAACAAACTTAATATAATAGAATTTGATATAGTTAAATTATAACATATTCAAAAGCGCTTTACAATGATGACAACGATAAAAACGTTATTTACAAAATATATCGATAACATATGAATACTAAGAAATAAATATATTTATCATATAATTATCTATGAAATACCTATCTTGTTATTTTCAGTAGTGAAAATACGGTATTCTAATAACACAAGAKAAAAGCTATTTTACGACATAATTTACTTTGATATGTAATAATATGAGCTACGCTCACTCGTGAGAGATCTTKTCAACACTCGAAGATACAATCCGTATATCTGGGCGACCATGTAATATCCTCTATAGAATATATAATATTTCACTCTGTCGTTCAGGATTCAACGGAATTATGAAGACAGCAAAGGAAGTTTCACTCCTCTTCAAGATATTATGGCTCACTTAGAAGAAGATAAAGGGAATATTGGTGAGACAGTGACCAAGATTATGCTGACCAAGGCATTCAACGATGTTTTCGAAGGGAATAGACATTATTTTAAAGGACGGGACAAGGATCGTGTTTCTGGATATCGTGACGTGAAAASAAAAGTACAGACCTCACTATATACCCAAATGAGTATCGATGAAGAKTGGGAAATATTAAGCCAGAATTATTCCAATATTACAGCAAATTGTGGCGACTTATGTACATGGAGTGCGGTCAAAGATAACGACGATTCCATTTCCTTTTTGCACTTTGAAAATGTGCGCTGTGACGAGCAGAGGRTTGTTAGCGAGATCAACTTCCAGAAGAACTCAACAATGCAGAAAACCGATGTTAAGATTATCTACCATCAAAGAGCTGTGCCATCCGACCAAGTGGAAATTATTGCAAGTCAATTTAACGGTCTTGGGATTTTGGAAAAAGCTAGACACCTCTTGAGATTTCTTGACAAGAGTTACATATGCCAAGGCTTTGAATTAGTGGATGGCGATGATCTTTTGCTTGATAGAATGGATATCAAACGACACTCTGTTACAACTGCAGGCATAACTACGTCCGAGCGAGGATTTTCTGCGAAATGTCAAGTCCTAACCAACTCTGCAGGAGTACGATGCGCAGTATGCAGATTTGAAAAAGAAAAACTACTGAAAATTAGGAAACGACACCATGAAAGAAAAGACAATGGCATCGCCACACACACTAATAATSGGTACTTATCAAGACAAKAACTCTTGGTAAAATTGGACAACGAGAAAACACTACGCCTAGCTGAAAAACGAGCTCRAGAAAACATTCAACAACAAATGTTAGACATGGAAGAAGATGACCATGATGATTTGGAAAAAATGATGAGCAATCTTACCACTGAAAATGTCCCAGCAGACATGGTAATGTTGTGGAACGAGCAGACAAAGATCTTGAGGACCACAAGCAAAAAGCAATRTCGATGGCATCCTAAGTAAGTTAACAAATTAACAAATCCATCCAGGATTTTCCAAGTTGTCGTGGGAATAAGTTTTATTTATAAAATATTACTATAGCCTAATAATGTCAATTCATGTACGCCGGTATAATAAACCGGTTATGCTTGTTTCAGTTCTCCTTAGATGAAACGATACAAACAAAATCAACATCCTCCCCTCAAGTAGGATATACCTTCTTWGAAAGGGGAGGGCCGAGGAAGGAGGGGATGCACCCAATTTACCTGTCTGGTCCCGCCCATATCTATATGTTCGTCCCGGTCGTCCGAAACGGGATTCAAAGGTCTTTCAAAAACCATGGTCAATAGTYAATCGTTGCAACAAACTCATGTTCCCCTATTTGAAAACGTCTTGCGTTTGATGAAAATAAACGTATGAGCCACTTTGTACGTGTGACTAAACTCATTATATTTTGCTCATTGATATAACACTTACAGTGTCGATCGATATGATATATTCCCAGGATAATGAAATTATGTGTGGAGTTATACTGCAAAAACCCCCAYGTTCTGGATCCACTTCGAAATGTCATCTGTCTACCAAGCAACCGGACAATTAGGTAAGTCTTCAAACTATTTTTATTCCGCKAGATTCAGTAGAAGAAATCGTTCAGTTGCTAATATAACCCTTTCGACAGACACTGGAAGAACAAAGTAGATCAAAAACCTGGATGGGATCGCGACATGTTGAAGTGGTGTTTGGATGAGGCTAGGAAAAGCAACCTAAGAGAGCAAGACTATTGGGGAGGATTTGTGCTTGATGAGATGAAAATACAGGCAAGTGAAAACAATCGTTTAAGCTGTACATCAGGTCTTTGGAATTCACTGGAATTGCTTATTTTTAGGAAGATGWTCAAATGGTGGTCAAAGGGGGGAAGCACAGACTGGTGGGTTTTGTGGATTTAGGGCAGATTCATGATGATATGCAGACCATAACAGAAGGTATACACAAAAATTGTTCATTTCAAATGGTTGTTTGATATCATCTAAAATCTGTTATACTCATGATTATTTTTCAGGTGGTAAATCAGAAGAGCCAAAGCTAGCCTCACATGTCCTACAGTTTATATTTCTGGGAGATAGTGGTTTTAGATTTCCAATTGCACAGTTCCCCTCTAGTGCCTGCAGTGCCAGTGACCTACAGTTTATATTTTGGGAGGGAGTGAGCAAGATGCTTGAAACTGGATTCACGTAAGTAATCATATCATTAAGTATATTACATATCATAATTTAACTCATTTAATCATCAATTACACCTATGTTATCAATATTTATTGTAATTAATTAAGAGCAATGTTGTTTACTCAAGACYCTGATATAATTTTTTCAACTACATAGGATATACTATTGCATACTAGACGGAGCAGAAGTGAACCGCCAGTTTATCAAGATCCACTTTAAAACTGAGGATGAGGCGATCACAAACAAGTTCATGTGTCCTAATCCATACAGTGTTACCTGTCCTATGGTATTTCTCATGGACCCCAAGGTAAATGGTTAACATACTAGTTAGTGTATAAGTTATCCAGTACTGTTACAACATTATACAATTTTTTTTATGGCCACATGAAATTCAGAATAATCTACAATAATGTGATTGTGTATTGTAAGGAATGTTAAACTGATTGAAATTCCCAAATTTGGAAGTAGTCATTAATGAATATTTTACTAAAAACAGAATTTGTAATTCCTTATTCATATAATCATTTAGCAGCATCTGCACTTGACTCTATCATTAATACAGTCTTGCATATAAAAATCAATTATTCTGCTTTGCAGCATAATATCAAGAAACTCAGGAATAATATCCTTAAAAGTGACATTGACAATGGGACAAGGTGCCTTACTATTGGGAAACACTCCATAGTATGGGAGCAATTTAGAAATGCATTCAATTATGATCAAGGATCCTTTTCAATGTCATATAACGAGCAACTTACAGCTGATCACTTCTATCTAACCCCMGCCTCAAAGATGAGAAATCATCTCGCCGAAGAAGTCTTGGACAAGAAAATGCTGAGTTTGATGAAGGTATTATATATTTACATTACATTGTCTAATCTGCTCAATTTAAGAAAGATGCAAATCACTTATCGATAAGTTAAATCTACAAATAGTGCCATTTTCATCACGTGACCATCACGTGACCACACTGAACTTCAATGAATCAAGTCATTATCAAAATCAAACATGTCAACAATAGCAGCCAATGTTAAAAAAGAAATGTAAGGAACATATGATAACCAGATCGTGCAATGCCTTGAAAACACTGGTTCAGTTTGCCATTTTAYWTATACACATCAACTTCCTCTTTTCACTTCTCAGGACATCATTTTGTTGATAGCTGACCTATACATGATCCCATGATCCCCTGATCTAGCTGCAAAGGATCTAGCTATCTTTATTCTTAGCATCCATAAAAAACATTCTTACAAATAAGACTTTGCTTATTTTGACAGGCCTACAAAGAGCACCTAAGGAATAAACCTGGACAAGATGAAAGTAGCTTAGATGCCACAATTGCACTTTTAAGCCATTCCTCCAACATGGTCCAGATTTTTAATGACAAGTACACCATATCAAGTATTTCAGATTCCAGGCTAAAGCAACTCACAGAATTTCAACAGTTTCTTGATGATTGGAAATCAAGCACAGAATTAGAACCCAAGAAATTCCTATCACCGAAACTGTACTTTGACCTGCAGTCCATGGTTTATGGATTCCAAGCCATTGTATATGTTAAAACCAAGGTTCATCAAAATGCTGTAGTCAAACCTGCCATAATTAATCAGGATGTAGTGGAGAACCACTTTTGTCAGGTTCGAGCCTGCAATGGTCAGAATGCTAATCCAACATGGAAACTACAAGAGGCATCACAGAATACAATTCGTTATGGACAATCCACTGTTAGCAGGAAAAGTAATGCTGGGCTGTCAAGTTTAAAGAAAGCTACTAGCTAGGTAAATTTCAAAGGAATTAAGGGCTAATTAGTTAACTCAGTATTATGCAATTAGAGAATTCACGTGAATTACAAAATTGAATTTAAGTGCACTTTGAAAAAAGGGCATTATAAACAAAAAACAGTAAAAAAAAAACAGTTGCACTTTGTTTTAATCTGTGATTGGAATATGATGGCAAATGCCAGCTTGTTGCTTGCACCTGTTGTACTTTAATTTCAACAGAACTAATTAACATTAAATTGTTGTAAAGCAGAGCCATTAATTATAACTAATGACATTAGTATTGCCATATTCTTATAATTATTGTCAGAGCTGGTAAATTGACCAATGGAAAAAAAGCTGTGTAACTTTTTGATGGCTACAGTAAATTTCAGTTGTAATTACAAATTATAGCTACAATAATGTCACAGCAGCACGTACTCATGATCAAATCATAACAATCAAATGTTCTGTAACAAGGCTGCAGATATAACTTAATTAGCTCTACTTATAGTCAAAGTGACTCTTCGGTTTTCAGCGTCAATGTTCACTGCAGACTGCAGGTTATCAAGGTAGAAAGAGTACACCATACTTTGAGAAGATTTTAGTACTGGTATCAATTGCTTGCCAAGGTCTGCTTTAGTTGCTCTACTAAGATTTGAAGTAATACCATATGCTTTGCATATTGTGAGTAATTGTGGCTTTGTATATACTTTTACAAAAGCAGCCTCTCCAAATTTATCAACAAAAGTAATCAGTCGATGATGGCTATTGACTTTACCTGCTGTTGTGTCTGCTGCAATCTCATTGTAGGGTACAGCTGCCTTTGTAACCTCTAGGGCTGACTTCCTTTCTAGAACATTTTTCCTGTGTTCTGCACTTTTCTTGATCCTACATGTTGAAATATTGTGGAATTATTTTKAGCATAAAGTAAATAATTATTTAGGAGTTGGTCATGATTTGACAAGAGGAGTAGGGACTGGGATCATCAATKWGGGAGGGGGCACAATCAACTGCCATACAAARGTATTGACAAAAATAGGGCATTTTGGCATATTTCCATCTTGTCCCGGCCTCTTGAGGAACAATGTTGACCCACCCCATGAATTCATGAAACTATATATCATATCTGCCACACTTATGCTAATAATATTAATGTACTTGTAACCATTCAGGAGCATGTCTCACTGTCATTGAATAGTAAAATTATGGACATAATTTGGATTCTTGTTAAGAGGTCATTTAGATTTTTGCAAKAAAAACATCAAGAATTAAGATTAAGAATTATTTGTCCTTTCAAGAATGATATTGTAATTACCTGTATGCAAGGCGAAAGTCCCTCAAGTATTGACCTACACCTGCTTTCATGTATTTCGTTACGATGAGGGCAAACAGAGTTTTGACACTATCCTCCTAGAAATAACACCATACATTTTTMAAAAAGACGTTATTGGGATGACTTTTGGAATAAAAAGATCGCAGTGAAAGCGGAAATGTTTCTCTCTAGTTCAATGACGAACTACGTAAGATCTTCATAAAGGTATTATCGCCTGATCCGTCTGCTCTCAGGGGTTCCTTATCGCGCTTTCCGCCTCTTTTTCACGAGAATTCCSCGTCCCGTGTCGCCATCGCGTCCCGTACATTTCTTAACTTAATTAGCACAGGGAACCCATACAGTATTTAACGTATATTGTGTTGAAAATGAAACGTGATTTGCAAAGATACGTAAACATAAATCCCGAATCCCGTTCCCAAGTTGTTCCGTATCCCGCTTCCCGTAGAGCAGTCAAATCTCGGGTTTTTATGTAGATAAATTTGCTTGACCACTATGACTGTTTACTATGACTGACGCGGGTTATATAGATAGATTGAGGTCTAAATAAGCGCCCGTTGTGGTTGGTTGTTTAAAACTAGAACTTCAACATCAATAAACATTATCATTTAAAAACATGGACAAAATATTAATTTTGAGAGTGTAATAGTCAAGAAATGTACATCATAGTTATACTAACTATGTTTAATAGGTAAGAAATAAAAATAAGAAAAATCAAAATCAAAAGACACTTATTTCAAAAAAACGTTGTCGAAGTCGAAGCACGGTCAAGAGACTTGAGGCTGCAAAGAATCTCGGTGATTTTCTATGCGTAATGGATTTTCATGCTTCAATCCTCTGTCTCAAACAACGGCCAGCAAATAGTGTGAATGAATTCACTGCGCATGGAAATCCCGACATGCTTTCTAGACTCGCGAGCATGGACTGTATCTTTGGTAGCGACAWCGTTATTTTTTCATTAGGTTGATATGCTTACATGACTATCTTGTGGAAAGCAAGACTGCCACTTRCTCAGAAGAACTTTATTGTCCAAAGCCATCTTGATTGCGTCGTCAACAAGATTCTCCTTCTTCTCTCGTAGTTTACTGTTATTCAATGATTCCACACGAAGAACTTCCAGGTCCACAAAGAATTCATATGCAGTATCTTCGATGTGCGTTAATCCTCTGGCACGGAGTTGCCTATCTTCTGTCAAACGTAAAGTCTCAGGGTATGTTGTTGATTTTTGTAGTTGAGCAATATTGGCAATCACGTGCTCTTCAAGAGCATTGACCATGTCAAGTTTCTGTTTCACAGATGCCAGGGTCTTCTTTGAGTTTGAGGCTATATTAAGTCTGACATACTTCAGTTCTTCGTGAAAAACTTTGGCAACAGACCACGCGCCAACATATCTTAGTTTTGCAAGACCTTCACTAGGCATTTCTCTAACATTTAGGACAACTGGAGAATCCAACTGAACTGCTCTTACTTTGTTAGCTACCTCACTRACTACTGCACGATATACTTCTGTCATCAGGTCAGTTCCAATAGCATATTGGGCTTGGGACAGCTCCTCTGCATTAAAGAGTAATTTCAAATCTGACATAAAAGCAGCAGATCTGGTGATTAGAAGGAACAGTTCTCTGGTGTTTARTGACCACTGTCTGGTCGACACGTGTACATCATCAGAGTTCATTATACTGCCTTCAAGCACAATTTGACACGCCCTGCTCCACATTACTTTTCCAACCATGTYCAAGCTATCCCCATGACTAGCCAATAACTCATCCAACACATCGTTTTTTTGAAAGGCATACTCRCTTAGGGGTGCTGTAATTCTAAGCTTTTCCAATAGACGTTTAACAGAAAAACTGACGGGAGGGAATCTCAAGAAATCGCTGGATCTCTCATCCGATAATATAGCATAGACTGTCGCCAAATCTATGACGACTTCTTYTGACTTTCTTTCAAAGAATGAATTTTTGACTCGTTCTGCCACATCACTCACTTCACAAACTGCATCTGCATCTCCATCATACTCTTTGACTTCATCATCGTCATTCGAGCTTTCAGAGACAGACCATTCGTCTTTTGATATATATTTGTTACARCAGCAGGTGAGGTTTTCTAAAGTTTCTTGATGATTTGAGCAAACACTCACACATTCATCGTCAGGAGGAATAAGTTGACTTGGATTGAAGTTGATTACTTGAAGGTGCGCTGACTTTCGAACACGGGAAAATGATACGTACGCCAAGCCTGGAACAAATTCTTTGCAACAGTGAACAACTGCTGCTTCTAGTGTTTGTCCTTGGGACTTGTGACACGTTATGGCATAACTTAGTATGATAGGAAACTGCGTACGAGTACCGACCACCTCTCCAAACTTTCCTTTCTTCTCCCAAATTTGTCTTTTCAAAGACACGTTTCCAATGTCTTCAAATTGAACTATGATCTCGTCTTTATTAGTCTCACTGACACCTATGTACTTTCCCTCGACTCCGTTTCTAAGACGTTCATTTTTGTTCCACACAAGCAKTACTTTACATCCTGGTTTTAACACCAAAACCTTCTCAGCTGGACAGGACATGCCGACAGTGTCACCTCGATCAAAGGAATCGTATCGGTGCTCTTGACCAGGTAATTTGGAAAGGCGATCCCTGTTAAAAAACTGCACGGATATTTTCTTGAAAAAGATATGAGTTGCTTTATCTTCTAACTCTCCAGGTAGATTCCTGTTAAGGCCTTGTATATATCGATTCGTTTCTTCTGAGCAATGTCCCAATCGCAGCTCTCTCAAACACTTYGCAAATGCCTCTTCACCTTCATCTTGACGGAGCAAAGTCCTTAGCTCGTATCGATGAGTGATTGCAAGATTAAATACCGGCGAATAGAACATGAATTCGCCTCGATCAAAAGGATTTGGTACTGGTCGAAGCTGTAGGAATTCCCCGGCCAAGATCATTTGGACTCCATTGAACGGTCGTACACTGTTTCCCGTGCTCAATTCAATGTGGATTTGGTTCACAACTTCTAGGACTCTTCTGGAGGACATTGACACCTCATCCCAAATTAAACAGTCCAGATCGCTCAGTTGGTCTTTCAAGGTACAGTCCTGTGCACTTCGGCTTACGAGCATTTGCCATGGCAAATCTGCTGTCTTGAGACGGTAAAATGAATGTACAGTGGCAATGGAGGTGTGAAGGTCCTTGTACACAGTTKAAGCTAGTCCACTAGCACACACAATTTTTACATTTTTTCCTGAACTCTTGAGATTCTTATAGACTTCTTTTATTAGAGTTGACTTCCCAGTTCCTCCTTGCCCGCTTATTAGAACATTGTGTCCTAGTTCTACTATTCGCAAGATGTCTTGCTGATCATCTGTCAACCTACAAAAAGCAGCCAGGTCGTGAGCTAGCAAAAGCTTTTACTACACGATAATACCAAAAATCTCTTCTTCGTCTCTCGTCAAAAAGGTTGTCCAAATTTAGTTGAAATTAAACTAATTAAGATTGCTTATTATATATTTTCTAATTTTGAAACATAATATTTGTTTCTGTGTCGACCGAAGGCAAGGCGCAGCTTATTCCAGACTCGAACTGAACCAAACCTACTCCTACGTACTACTAAGACTAAAACGAACAAAGTATAACCCTATCCCATGCAAAAACCATACCCTATCCCAGAAATGTCAAAAAAATACTCTTATCCAAACCTACAATCCGAAGAATCATTCCCTATGTAACATGTGTACGCTAGTGTTGCAAACAGCAGAAAAAAACATGATATTAGCAGTAATAAAAGGGACATTTCAAAGATTTAAGCATACAAATATTGAATTTATTCTTTAACTGAACGCTATCCAAAGAAGCTATCCAAAGAATTAAAGCAGCGACTTCACCATAGAAAATGCGCTTTGAGCTGTCTATATATCGCTTATAGCAGTTGAATAGTAAAATGTCATATATGTATATATGTCAAATATATATTTGTGGCACTTTACAACCATTGAAATTAAACTTACCTAAACATGTTCAAAGTAATTTTCCTRCCATCTCTTCTAAAAGACACAGTGACACAACGACAGCTGTAAATCGTTTTTTTTATGAGTAATAAAGGCCAAACGACTTACCAAGCTCGAATTCCTTCGCTTTTTCGGCGAACAAGACGCCATGGAGTTCACATAACTTGTGAAGTTCACAAATGTGATATGCGGGCTTTTCCATGCACACGTTCGAAAGCCATGTGGCACGTTCGAACGTGTGATTGGTTGAAGAAAAACAAAGACTGAATTAATTTCGTGGTAGACATGGCCTCCCGGCACGGTGGACCTTTTGCATTAGTTTCCAGGCTTCCACCGGCGCTTCTTTTGTACAGTACTTTCTCCGCCACAGTGGCAAAATGGCGGTTTTGACACGGATTTTACTTGCCTCAGGAGAGCTCATGGCTCAAGAAAATCANTTCTGGATTCAATAATTTTTCACAAGCAGGAGGATCCTTCAAAGCCAGAATTGATTTATTCCAGCTCCATATCTGTACAGAACATCATTTACGCTGCTGCAAAGCAAGAAGTCAATCAAACAGAAACACAGCCAAAACCGTTTCACGATTTACCTACCGAAAATAAGAGGTTACCTAAACGCCGAGTTAGGATCTCGAGTTGGATCTCGAGTTGGATCTCGAGTTGGATTTCGAGTTGGATCTCGAGTTGGATCTCGAGTTGGATTTTTAGCAGGATTCTGAGTTTTCTATAAAACACGGTATTTTTAAAAAAAAATTTAACTAAGACTAGTGATCAGCACTACGGAGAACTGAATAGTTGCAAACTTTTTATCACCTCTTAACGGAGGGCTTCTTCAGGGAATAATTTGTACACTATTGACTAGTAATTAMTAAYATTTAAAACTTGCTTTAAATTAAACTTCCTTTTGGGACGTGAATAATAACAACGTCGTGACTAAAGTTATTGTGATTTCGAAATAGTTTTGGGGGCCATGCATGCGATTAATTTTTAAAAACTTTTGAAAATGACTTACTTGCTCAAACGTTAAACTTCAGCCATCTTATATGTGCTTTATCTATCAAYAACTGATTTTTGAAGTTTGGCAGCATCAATCCCAGTCTGTTTCACAAAAGTTTGTTTATATATTTATAATTATTATAATTTTGATACATTCAACATCACTAACGTGTTACTGACTGATGGTTTGATTCCAAACGTCTCCATTTGGAATGGCTGTAATAAATGGACAACTCTATTGTTCTCTATTTGGGTCGTTGACGTGCTGTACTGAACTTGTCGTAATATATATATTGACAACAACATTCGGAAAAGCTGCCGTGTTTTGATTGTCAAACGAAAAACTCTCTATAATTTTCGTTTGTGCCGTGCCATGTTGTTTGCACACTCATGCTAACATGAATAGGAATTCAACTGGAATTAACATTGATTTCACACTGTATCGTTGTTATTTTTACCACAAAAAATGGTGTCAAAAACGTCACCTCAACTATTCTCAAATGTCTCWGGACCACTAACAAAATGACAACCAAAATTGAGCGAAATTAAATTAAATATTAAATTAAATATTAATTAAAATAAATTAAATATTACACTCGTATGTAACCAAACAATATATACAACAGAAGAGAATTTTATGACCTTCAACTNGACAGCTGTACAAAGGCACATTGCGTTAGGAGTCGAACTTCGACGAAAAAATCGACCAAATTAAGAGCTGTTCGAAGTGGATATGGAGGGCTTCGATTCCTACCCTGTCACAGATTATAGTAAGAGGGGAACAAATTCATAAAAGTTCTGAAAATCGCTCCAGAGATTACCAGTAGCTATAATAATGCACACAATAAGTTATAGCGAAATTTATTGTATATTTATGCCATAAATCAACTTTACATAGATTCCCATACATTCTCTTATATCAAGTAAAGAGCTTGGGCTACCCGTGTTGATACGTCTGCCCACGCGGCTATACTGGGCTAGAACAAGAGTAGTCTCAATAAAGGGGCAAAGAAAAAAAATATAAAAAACTTTCGTACTGGACGCTTCTTATCCATGCTATTTACCAGAGAACTGATTTCATTTGTGCCTATTTAGATACGCCAAGTCCTGCAGCAGCGGACACCTGGATCACTCTTGGTGACCCTGATATGAAAGTCAAAGTCAAAAGAAGCCTGTACATTAAAGCACGAGATGGCTCGACAGACCGTAAGAAGTTCGCCTTGAACTTATTGGAAGTGAGTATAAGTTTTTTAACGGTTCATACTTACAGTCAAACGACCTGAAGCGTGAACACATAGACATAATTAATRTATTCATTCTTCGAATATTGATTTGATTATTCGATTCGAACCATTCATTCTTGATACGAAGTTTTCAATATTCAAAACAAAAATAGTTTTAAATCTCGATTAATGATTGGATTAATGTTCACSCTTCAGGTCGTTTGACTATACATCTCGACGTTTCAGAATGGTCGATAAGTGGTCGATGTGAGTTGTTTCATAAATATGATTACACGTTTCTAAAACATGATGTTTTGATGTTACGTTTTCCATAGCTGCTATTTACTGCAGACGTACTAAGATCTTCGACATTTATGGGATCGGAGAGGAAAAAAAGACTCTGCCCGTTGCGCACAAGCGCCTTGAAAGGTAGGTTAATCTATTAAGATATAGCTGATTGCAATTGATAGCTGATAGCTGATRKCAATTGWAACGAAATKTTTTAGCCATTTTTCGAATGGRTCCTTAAAGTGAACCATCGGGGACGCTGCCCGAAATTATTTAGRGCACTCTAGCATCTCGACAATTCTTTGTTAAATTAAAAAAGAACTGGCATATTCACATTCCTAATGAATCAAKTATATAATGAATGGCTGAAGCCTTTCGATGGGTTTACTTTATGCATGCATTATGCAAATAAGCAAGCAGTATTTATATCAGTAATCAATGTTCTTTTATCATTGAGCTTAATTATAGGGTTTTTTTTTTCCTTTTATTTCAGCCACTATATTCAAAGAGTTTCCTGCACAAAACGCAGAGGAGAGACCACAAGCTGGGCTCGAATAAAGGAGTCAATCACGGACAAATGTCGCAAAATAAAAGTCGGCAAGCAGACACCGGCCGATTTCTTTGAGGAGAGTTAGGCCGGTGTCATGACATGTGTACGCCTGTGAGACATCGCATTCCAATCGAATACGAAGTTCTATGTTTTTTGGTCATGTTTAAAATTTTACTGCAGAAAAAAGTTCCACTAGGCGTACCTTGCTACCCTCTTTTATTCTCTACATTTGTCGACTGAAGTCTCATTTTCTGGCTTATTTGATTACAAAGTTTAAAGATATCACGCAAGCTGAGTCATCTATTACTTTCAAGATCTTCACTGAAGGATAATCTGGCGGCATACCGTCTTGACGACCGGAATACAATTGGAATTCGACCTGAATACCGTCGGAATTGCAGCCTGGAATATCAGGAATTTAATGGGATTATAGGCCGGCATTCCAACGGAATTCCAGGTAACTGGGAAGGATACCGCCGGAATACCTTCGGAATACCACCGGAAAATCGCTGGAATACCACCGGAATACCGCCTGGAATACCGCCCGGACTATCTGGAATTCCCCGGAATGCCGGCCTTAATCCCGCGGAATTCCAGGTACTCCGGGCGGAATATTTAGTAAAGATTTCCGATTTAGCGGATTATAAGCGGAATAGGCATATAGTAGTGGAATAGGCATATRGTAGTGGAAATTATGTAGAAGAAATTATGTCTTCAATGTTTGGTAATGCTATTCAAAGAACCTTTTTATAATTATCTTGGTTTTACAAAAAATCGCTATATTTATTTCTCTAAACACAAACAAGAGGCAACACAAGTAGCATATTATATATCTGCACTTTTTATTGATTAACAAATTATTGAATGACGTATATAGAGCAAACACAGGAAAACCATGAAATAAAAACAAAACTAAATACTAACAAATAGTAACTATTTAGAGATAAATTGTCAGTATCACCCAACCAGAACACAATCAATCAGACAAAGATAAATACACAGGAGACCATCTTTAATTGTTAATTTGCGTCTATTCATATAGTTTTATTATTAATTGTGTATTGTAATATTCTGATAAAAAAATGTTTGTTTYACAAAAAGCTGATTTATTTTATTCCAAAAAATTATAGCCTTTCATATCTTTTTGTTAAGAGTTTCCCGCAAAAGGGACAGAAGTTTTGACCCACGGCCGTTAAGTTGAAACATGAATCACAGAGTAGTTGGTCTTGTTCKTGACCATAGCTAGCGCTTCTGCTTAGGGCGAGTGACATAGGATGAGGTGGAGCTGTTGGTATTCTGCTACTTGAGTATTTATGAAATGATAATACGCCCGGTCTTTGTATGCCAGTCTCTTTGCTCTTTTGCTCCTCTTCCTGTTTTGCCACGTTCTGAAGGATGCTCTTTAACGCGTTGGTATCAATAGAAACAGCACTTAATTCTTTCATACTTTGCTCCTCAAGTTGATTGGACAGCGAAGAAAAATTCAAAGTTGATAGAGGCTTAGCAGTGTCGACCAATGTAGGTGTAGATGTTTCAGTAGGTGCAATTAAAATGCTATCTATTGCTGCCTGTATGTCGTTGTTTGTTGACTCGAGAACAGAGCCGAGATAGAGAACACTTGTGTCGGGCAAAACCTCTTTTAGTTTTGAAAGGTTGTCGTTAAATTCTGCATTTTTAGATCTCTTCGGTATACACGCAGCCATTAAAATGGGTTCTTTGGATGGGCCTGTCGGAACACTTCGTTGGTGCAGGTGAAGCGACGTTTTTAATACCTGTAGTGGTGAGAGGGTTGGATTTGCTTTAACGATGTTTGTGGAAAAGCTGTTCAGACTGCGATAGAACTCACGGTGCTGCTCCAGTTGCTTGCGTCTTTTTTCTAAGTAAATTAAGTCAAATTTAACGTAATTTGAACTGAGCCAAGTCTTTTGATAATGAAAATCATAAGAGAAAATCTTAA